AACACATCTGCTCTGGCCTTGCTCAGCCCTCCCTCCCGCTCCAGTCTCTGAATGTTCATGCCAGGGAGTTCTCAGGAAGCTGTCTCCTTGGGAAAGGCAGACTGATGGCTGTTTGCTCCGGCTCAGAGCAAGGAGAATTTCTCTGAGTGTGCCTTGGGATGCTCAGGAGGCTGTTCCCATCCAGGGGTACAAACCATGCCTCCAAATTATTAAAAACAAGAAGTGCAGCTCAAATTGCAAGACAATAAATGAGAAGAGTCTTGCAGAATAATTTTGAAGCTGAGAATCATCACAACCTGCTCGTGGCTGTTCACTGAACAGAGAAGGAAGTTCCTTGTGTGAGCTGTTTGTTCATACATCCAGTTCAGCCCCAAGAGTGACAGTGAAACTCTGTGTTCTTCACTTCCCTTCCTGGACTCTGCTGGAAGAGGACACAAGTGTCAGGTGATTCCATCACACCCACTGAGATGACATTTTATCTTCTTTCCATTAAAGCCATCAGCCACAGCAACTGTGAAGGGAAAAAAAAAACCCCAACTCTACCAAACCTTTGCTTCCCTCACAGCCCCTCAGTGATTTTCCATCTCTGCAAGTGATCCTTTAATTAATGGCATCTCTGCCTGGGAGCAGGGTGAGGGCCTGTCCCAGAGCCCCAGCACAGCGTGGGGAGCAGGTCATTAATCCAAGGCAAAGCAACACAACCAGGGATTCTAAAAATACTCAGGACACCTGATTGCTCCACCTGATTGTAAGATGGGGAATTGAGAGGAGGAGAGGGATGGGCCCTGCATGCTGAGTGCTCGGGGCTGCTGCAAAACCTCTGGAAGGGGGAGCAGGGGCTGGAATTTTGTGTTACTGCAACAGGATCAGCTCAGAGGCAGCACCTGTGGGACTCCTTCAGAAGCACAAGGGATGAGCTGATTGTGTTGGGTCCAGCAGATCCCTGGATATCCCATGGCATGGAAATCCAACACCAGCATCTGCTGCACTGCCTCAGATTCGTGGCACTAACATCATCACTATCCAGGGGTGGCAGCAGGAAAAGGTGGAAGAAACAGCACAGATTATTTTCCATGAGCTACTTTCAAAAGCTTCAGTTGCATGATTTCAGGTCTGGCAGCACACCTGTAATTATAGTCCCAGAATCCCAGACTGGTCTGTGCTGGGAGAGACCTTAAAGCTCATCCAGCCCCTGCCATGGCAGGGACACCTTCCCTAGCCCAGCTTACACAGGGACGTGCAACTCCTCACAGGGACCCTGACACCACCTCAGGAGACCAAAACTCACTCAAAAATCCCTTGGGGATAAGGAGAGTTCCAAGGGTTAAAGTCCACAGGAGCCCCTGCCCAGCTCTGCTTTCATTCCCCTCAGCGGCCTCAAATTCCCTGGATTAAGCTCCTTGTATAGTTCTCCTCTCTGGGAAGATACTTCACAATCTATTTGTGGTAGTCAAAATTCTAAAATACAAGCAGGATGTGTTCTCCCTGAGGCTCTTTTTGAGACAGCTCTTTCTTGACTATCCCTCAAGTGAGGAAAACAAACTCCAAAGGCTGAATTCCTGCTGGTATTTCAGCTGGCCTTGGCACCCCCTGCACATTCCTTGTCTCTCTGCTTCCCAAATTATAGGAGCCAGTGTTTGGGCAGGTGCTGGGGGTGGAATTGTATCTAAACTCATCATCTCAGGGTATTTTTGGCAGCATTCTCTCGATGACACTTGTAGACAAGGCTCTGCAACAGCCCCTTTGGCTCTCAGTGTGGGTGTCTGGTAATGCCCCCTCCCACCTTCTCGCAGTAAAAATAGCACAAGAAATTGTTCTTTTCTCAAACATCTCCCCCCAAAATGTCATTTTCATCTGCATCACATGAGATTTCGCTGTTTTCTTCATAGAGATTTATTGTGTTAGATTTTATCTGCCTGTTAAACACTTCCTAAGTGGGGAGTGAGTAATAAAAATGAGATTACAGGAATTGCTTGGTGGGGAACAGACCAGACCTACAATTTAGCTTGCTTGTTCCTGTAAGCTATGGAACTTCAAACTGATCTGCAAATTGCAAAATAAATTTAGAAAATCACTTTTCTAAATTTTCACAGCACAAAGCCTGTCCAGCATGAGGGTGAATGGCAGAATCAGCGTCAATGTAAGGAACTCAAAGCAAGACCAAAAGAGTTACAGATTCCTGTAGTACAGGAATTCTGGAATAAATGTGACTTCAAATGACAGCAAAAAATGGGTATCCTGAAGATGCTGTGGGGTGTACTCAGCAGTTCAGTCAGGGATGGGACATTGCTTTGGTGGCCTTGTACAGGACATGTCCTGCATTGTGCCAGTTCTGTCATCCATTTATCCATCATCTTCCTTCCTTCCCTCCCTCCCTCTTTCCCAGCTGGAGGAGAGGTGGAATCACCCCTTTTAAGTCCAGTTCATTTCTGATCTGGGTGGGGTTTTATGCATTCAGCTTCTTCAGATGTACTCAAAGTGGATTTTCTAAGCTTCACACCGTGGCCTCATTCTCTGTTTATTTTCTTCTGATACCTCCCTTTTCCTCCTATCCTCAGGCTCCATAAATGTAGATTTCAGAGAGAATATGGGCACAACCCACCTATGACTTGGGAAAAGCCCCCTGGGAGAAGTCAGCTCTCTTTATTCCCCGAGATTCCCGCTCAAACTGATCCCTGTGGCACAAGTTTGGGGAGAAGCTGTGAGGGTGGCAGTGCCTGGCTGAGCAGTGCAGCTGTTCCTTCAGCTCTTCTCATCTCCACATCCTTATTTCTTCCCTCATTTTTTATTTTTGTCTTGTTTTTGCACTTTCCTTTGGGAAGAGGAGGAAGCTGCATTGCTATTCCACAGGTACATTTTGTGCAGTGCTGCAAGGTCCCCTAAGTGATTCCCACTCCGTTTATTTTTAATCTTATAAACCATCCTCATCCTTCTGCAAGCCCCAGGAGAAGCTACGGGCGAGGGGAAAAACGACTTTGGATCACGCGGAGCACAAACACAAAGCCTTAATTAACGAGCGCTGCCCCCACTAATTGCAGAGGAGGAGCCTGTGCTGCTCCGCACGGGGAATGACAGGGAATTACAGCCCGCGTGTCTTCTTTCCTTGATCTGAGGTTGTGTGGGTTTGTGCGAGTGGTAGAAATTATAGAATATGGAATAACACCCATGGAAGGTGTCCCAGCCCATGGCAGGGATTGGAACTGGGTGAGCTTTAATGTCCCTTCCAACCCAAACCAGCCTGGGATTCTGATTATGGTATAATTAAAAGCTGTCAATTCTCATGCTTGATACAAGATCACCAATAATTAAAACCTGTACATTTTCAGGCTCGCTACAAGGTCACCAACAATTGTAACCTGTACATTCTGAGGCCCTGAAGGGAATATTTTGGCAATTGTTGGAACAAACTCCTGGGAGCCGGCTGTTTTTGGGGCTGTGAGACATCAACACTCACGGCAGGAGTGAACAGCAATTCCAGCAGCTCCCCGGGATCCGGGCGGGGCACCCACGAGACACAGCATCGTGCTCGGAATCTAAAATACACGGCAAGCAGGACGGACAGGTGTTACTAGCTGTGGGAAGTGTGACAAGTGGTGAAGTGACAAATGTGCCTCCAACCCGTTTCTCGAGGGGAAGATGCTGTCAGCCTGCTGCCCATCCAGATAGCACAGCTGATGGCCGCACGCCTTGAGGGGGAAAAAAAGTGTTTTTTTCCTGAGATATTCCCTGAGAGCTTCGCGAACGCCGGTGCAGGGAGGGGAAAAGACACGGGGAGAGAGTGGGAGTGTAGCAGGATGGAGCGGAGGATGAGTGGGCTCCCAGAGGCTCCGGGCACATCCCGGGAGTTCCAGGCGGATCTTGGGGGCTCCGGGCACATCCCGAGGGCTCGGGGCACAATCCTGAGGGCTCCGGGCACAATCCTGAGGGCTCTGGGCACATCTCGAGGGCTCGGGACACAATCCTGAGGGCTCGGGACAGCAGGTCGGAGCGCACCCCGTGTTCTCCGGGCACATCCCCAGATCTCCGGGCCCATTCCCGGCTCTCCGGGCGCATTTCCCGGGCACATCCCCTTCTCTCCAGGCACATTCCCCGGGCACATCCCGGCTCTCCAAGCACATCCCCAGCTCTCCGGGCACATCCCTTGTTCTCCGGGCACATTCCCCGGGCACATCCCTTGTTCTCCGGGCACAATCCCGGGGCACATTCCTGGCTCTCCAGGCGCATCCCCCGGGCACATTCCCGGCTCTCTGGGCACATTCCCCGGGCACATCCCCTGCTCCCCAAGCACTTCCCCAACTCTCCAGGCACATTCCCGGGGCATATTCCCCGGGCACATTCCCGGCTCTCCGGGCACATTCCCGGCTCCCCGGGCACATTCCCCGGGCCCATTCCCGGCTCTCCGGGCGCATTCCCGGCTCTCCGGGCACATTCCCCGGGCACATTCCCTGCTCTCCGGGCACATTCCCCGGGCACATTCCCGGCTCTCAGGGCATATTCCCCGGGCCCATTCCCGGCTCTCCGGGCACATTCCCCGGGCACATTCCCTGCTCTCCGGGCACATTCCCCGGGCACATTCCCGGCTCTCCGGGCACATTCCCCGGGCACATTCCCGGCTCTCAGGGCATATTCCCCGGGCCCATTCCCGGCTCTCCGGGCGCATTCCCCGGGCACATCCCTTGTTCTCCGGGCACAATCCCGGGGCACATTCCTGGCTCTCCAGGCACATTCCCCGGGCACATTCCCGGCTCTCTGGGCACATTCCCGGCTCTCCGGGCACATCCCCAGCTCTCCGGGCGCATTCCCCGGGCACATTCCCGGCTCTCCGGGCACATTCCCCGGGTACATTCCCGGCTCTCCGGGCGCATTCCCTGCTATCCGGGTACATTCCCGGCTCCCCGTGGCCATTCCCGGCTCCCCGGGCGGGCGCTGCCCTCAGCGCTGCCCTCAGCCGAGATGGCGGCGCTGGCGCGCGGCTCTCGCGAGGCGGGCGGGGCGGGGCGGGGCGGGGCGCGCGCGCCCTGATGGCGGCGGGGCGGCCCCTCACGGCGGGGCCGGGCGGCCATGGAGCACATCAGCACCCCAAAGGTAACCAAACCCGTGGGCTCGGCCCGGCCTGTCCCCGCCGCCTCTTCCCCCGCTCTCCCCTCTCTCCAGCCGCGGAACGACCCTCGGGGCTGCGGGTGGGGGGTCGCAGCCGCGGTCCCCCGCTGTTGGTGGCGCTCTGTGGGGAGGGGGTTGCAGTGCTGGGCAGAGCCCCAGGTGGTTTAGGGAATTCTGGAATGTTTTTCTGTCAAAGCGCGGAGATTCCTCTCAGTCCCAAGGAGTGAACCAAAGAGGGCTTTTTTTTTTTTTTTTTTTTTTTTTTTTTTTTTTTTTTCTCCATTGAATTAAGTCAAACAAGACCTCCGGGAATGCTGTAAGAAATGCATTTATTCAGGCAGCAGTTGATAATTTAATTTTATCCTTCACTGCAGTGAAGGTTATTGTTTCTCGGTTTATTCTGTAGGAGGTTAGTTTGGGGATGCTCCTTACTCCCCGCTCTGAGCTGCTCTGCTGGTCCTGCATGTCTGTAGTGCCCTGGAAAGGGCAATATTGTATTTGATAGTTATATCTGCTGTAAAACACGACTGAGCCCAGGCCTCAGCTCTCCAGTTTATTTGCTGAGATTTTCTATGTGTACTTAAGACATAAGAAAGCTCACACATTAAATACCCAGAACTAATCTATCATTAACTGATAAAACATTTTTTTTCATTGTTCATCCAGTTATTTTTTCTTATTATTTCTGCTTAACAGTGAAAGAAAAATTCCATCTGCGTTCATTAGGCAGCAAATAGGCCAGGAGAAAAATCAATCCAGTGCTGTAGCATATTTTATTATGTCTGTGCTGAGTTCTTTAAAGCTGTTGTTTATTAATTGGCTTGGTGTGGTTTATGAAATACTCTTGGAGGCCAGGAAGTGAGTTACAAGTAGCTACTAACATGGAATGAGCAGTGGGAAGTCAGACTGGAGAGGGCTGTTCCTTTCAGAGCAACATGTTGATCACTCTGAAGACTGACAAGCTTTTCCTTTGCAGTTCTTTGTCTTGTTATTTCTGCAGCCTCACACAGCAACAAACTGTGATCATCTTGGCTACAAATCCAGTAATCCTGTTAGGATTTGCTGGTGCTGAACCACAGCTGTTTGTTTAACCTTTATGGCTTTAATTCTCGGAGAAATAATTTGAGTTTATGGTGTAAGACTGGCTTGGTGTTGCAGGGGAGACTTAAATTTTTTTCTGTCTTGCTTCATGAGCTGTGTATGAGAAGTTGAAAGAATGGAGTTCAACAGGTGTGTAGGCAGTGCTTCCATCAAGGCTGGACTTGGAGGAATTACTCCATGGAAAGGGTGGTCAGGCCTTGGAAGGGGCTGCCAGAGAGGTTTGGAGTGCCCATCCCTGGGGGTGTCTGAGGAGCAATTGGATGTGTGCTGGGTGACAAGGTGGGAATTGGGCACAGGCTGAACTTGATGGTCCCAGAGGGTTTTTCCAGCCTGGCAACCCTGGGGTTCTGTGGTGTTCTCATGCCGTGTTCCTGCTGCAGGTGGAAAATGTGAAGTTGCTGGATCGCTATGCCAGCAGGAAGGCAGCGAGCGGGACCCTGTACCTGACAGCCACACACCTGATCTACGTGGATGCCTCTGCTGAAGTCAGGAAGGAAACATGGGTATGGTGCGCTGCAAACACACCTGGAAAAGCTGCTTCAGGTCTCAAAGGATGGATTGGATGGGGAGAGACTTGAAGGATCGTCCCATTTCACCCCTGCAGGGACACATTCCACTGTCCCAGGCTGCTCCAGCCTGGCTTTGGGCACTGTCAGGGATGCAGGGGCAGCTACAGCTGCTCTGGGCACCCTGTGCCAGGACCTGCCCTGGAGAGAGGAGGGAACAATTCCTTCCCATTATCCCATCTATCCCTGCCCTCTGGCAGTGGGAAGCCATTCCCCCTTGTCCTGGAACTGAGTGCTCTCATTTCCAGAATGAGCAGGTTTGGGAATTCTGGAGCCATAGTGGTCTTTTAGAGCATTTTGATACCAAATGCTTCCCAGAAACAGCTGGTTTGGAAGGAAGTGAGCACAATGGTGATGAACTCATAGAGTTCACTCATGGAATTAGTGTCAGTTCAAGGAATGTAAAGAACTTTTGTTTTTCTATCTAAAACTCAATATACAAGACCATTAAATGTGAACTTGCAGCTTTTAGAAGTGCAGATTTAGCCTGAAATGAGCTTGGTTTGTTAGTTCTAAGGTGAAATGGGAATGACAGAATGTATTTCATATGGAGGTGAAAGGAAAGCAAAGTGCACCAGGTAAACTGAGCTGCACATCTGTCTCCGAAAGCAATTTTTGTAAATCTGTGGTTTTTCAGTCCTGCTTTAGTTCCCTGGGTTTTGAGTGCAGTTTATGTTTGATATCACAAATAAACTCATTTCCTGCTGCTCCTTAGCTGCAGGAAGCATAAACAGCTGATTGTATTACAAAAGTTTCATACCTGCTTGCACTGCTCAGAGCTTTATCAGTGACAAATGATGTTTATTCCCTTCTCTCCAGATCCTGCACCACCACATCTCCAGTGTGGAGAAGCTGCCCCTGACCACGGCTGGGTACCCCCTGCTCATCCACTGCAAGAACTTCCACGTGGCTCACTTTGTGATTGGGCAGGAGCGGGACTGCCACGACGTGTTCACCTCCCTGCTCAAGCTCTCCCAGCCAGGTGCTGGGGTTGGGAATGTGTCCTGGGAATCTCTGGAATGCTCCAAGCTGAGCCCTGGGAAAGCTCTGCTGACACACTTGGGTTGGGGAGGGAAGGAATGGGATCAGAATCAGCTTCCAGCAGCAGGGACAATGGCAGGGGTCAGGGAGCTGATCTCTGTGGAGCAGGACATTTGCTTCCAGACTAAACACAGTCTTGGGAGCCAAGATGGATGGAGAGAGATTGTTTACAGGAGCTTGGAGTGCCAGGACAAGGGGAAATGGGCTCACACTGAGAGAGCAGGGTTAGGTGGGGTGTTGGGAAGGAAACCTTCCCTGTGAGGATGGTGAGGCCCTGGCACAGAGTGCCCAGAGGAGCTGTGGCATCACTAGAAGTTCCAAGGCCAGGCTTGACATTGGGGCTTGGAGCAGCCTGGGACAGTGGAAGGTGTCCCAGGGGTGGCACTGGATGAGCTGTTGCAACCCAAACCTCTCTGTGATTCTGTCACTCTCTGGCAGTGGGAGTGATGTGGTCTCCTATGAGGAACTTCTGGAGAGCTGTGCAAAGTTCATATCCCAAACCTGGCCACTGTCAGTCCCTTGTGTCACCCAGCTGTTGGCTCTGTGCAGTTCTGCCCTTTCCAGCTGATCCAGGCATCCACAGAATTCCCAAATCCCACAAATTGGCATCTTGGCTGTGTTTCAGCAGCGTGGTTAGGCTGCACTGCTGTGTTTGCTCAGTGGAGCCTGTGCTTCACCCTGCTCTGACTTGGAGTGACTCTTGTAGTGTGAGCCAGACACCCTCAAAAGCCTGTGCTCTCTTCTAGCTCCAGCTTTTTATTCCAGTATGGATGAATCTTCAAGCTTGTCTTGCAGGACAGCATTCCACTGAGCTCCTACCTGGCTTCTGCCTCTGGCAACCTCTGCTTTTGGGATGCTGGAACCTGTATTTGGAGTTGTGTTATTACAAGGATGTCATTTGTAGTTGCAATTTGTGATGGTGCCAGCAGGCTGAGGGAGGAGAATTAATGGCACCAGGCAGCTTCTTGCTGGCCTTCACACAGGGCTGGGCTGGAAATCCTGTAGGAGAAATGGGCTTTGCTGAATTTAGATGTTTTTCATTTTGATATTAAGCCCTGTGTCTACTCCCAGCAACCCCTTGTGCTTTTTGGAGTTTTCTTAGTTCTGAAGTTCTGCCTGTGATGACGTAAGTTTGTGGTGTTAGATTTAAAAACTGTCACTGCTCTTTGGGGTTTGAAAATTGGAGGTTTGGGGTAGTGCCTGAAGCGTGGGAGGTGTCACTGCAGGGCCTCACACCAGTTTCCTTTGGTCTCTACTTAATTGTCTAAATGCTTTCTTTTCTTGTACTTCTGGATGGTAACAGCACATTTTTGTTCTTTTAAGATATCTGAGTGTGCTCCCTTACTGGATTTTTGGCAGAGCACATCATTACTGATGATTTGCACATATGTGATGGACAGCTCTGGTTTACCTGCTTGGTACCCAGCTGCTTTATCAGCCTCTGACAGGTTTCCCTCTGTCTCTGGAGCTGCCTTGGCAATCAGCTGGATGAGTTGTTGGTTTGATTTGCATTTTGTGAAGAAAGGGAAGGAGGTTGGGATGGTAAATGGGCACTTGACAGAGCCAGTCTGAAGCCTTTGTTGGGCTGACAGCAATATTCCAGCCATCCCTCAAGTTTTCCAGTCTCAGAATCTGTTGCTGAACCCTGACCTTACAGGTGTGCAGGAGCCATTGTATGAACTCTCCACACAAAACAGAGCTTTTAATCCATGTTTTCACGTGTGGTTTAATGGCTATGATATAAATCCCATCTTACATGCTTACTACATTCAGGAGTTCAGGATGAAATCACTAGCTTATGAGAAATTGCTTCTTCCAGCTTGGGCTAAAACACTTCATTAGAATTAATGTATTTGCCTGCGTTCCCAGTTTGAGAACTGAGTATTGGAAATTCCTGAGGATTTCAGGATGAATTTCAGAACTTGGTACTGTCCCAAACCAAAAATCTGTCAAAGGTTGGGAAGTCTTAAATACTTTGAATACTTCTCTGTAGCACTCAATCATTGATTTCCAGAAGTTTTGGCCTCCCTGGATATCTTTGCATCTCTGACTTGTTCATCTTTTTCTTTCTCCTTCCCAGTGAAACCTGAAGAGCTTTATGCTTTCTCTTACAATCCTAAAATGTCCAAAGAGAGCCGGGAGATGGGATGGAAACTGATTGATTTGAAGCTGGATTACCAGCGCATGGGAATCCCCAACGACTCCTGGGAGATAACAGATATTAATAAGGACTATGAGGTAATTCCTGCCCAGAGGAGCCATTCCATGCACTATCTCCTTGTTGTTATTAATGACAGCCCTGCTGCTGCCTCTGGGGAAGAAGGAGCTCATTTAGTCTGAGTCAAAGCACATCATCTTGATGGGGAGTTGCAGATGATGATGCTCCAGGAGAGTCATCTGGTTGTGTTTGATCCCCCTGGCAAGGGAGCAGAGTCTTGTTTTTCTGCAGAAATGTCAACCCATCTGTTAGGCAAAGCTTCAAGTACCCTGAGCTGCTTTTGGTATTTCCAAGGCCTGTCCCACCTGGCTGGTGACAAATGTGGAGGAGAGAGGGAAATGGCAGCAGTTTGGATTGGTGGGAAATGAGGCAGAGTGGAGAGGGACTAGGGAAAGAAGGAAGGAATAGAAAAACAGCAGTGGAAACCAGAGGTTTTTTTTGCTTTCTCATTTGGATCTTCTGCTACCTAAGGGCCCCCTGTCATTTCAGTCTGAGCTGCCTGCTGCTGTTATTTTCCCTGAAAGGCCAACTTGGATCTAAACAAGATAAAACAAAAGCATTTGTCAGCAAGCTTGTTCCAAATCCTACTCCACATTGTTTCCCTTTTTGTTTCCTCTGGGGCTGTGTGCAGTCAGACCTGGCTGTTGAAAAGCAAGGCAAGCAACTTCAAGAAAGACACCAAAATATTCATATCCCTGAATCCCTTTCCCTGGTAACTTTCTTTACTTTAAGCTGTGGGTTGAAGTAATACAAGCCTGTGCTGTCAAAGGTGACTGTCAGTTGTACCTGGCTCTGCCTGTGGGGGCCTGAATTGATCTCTGATGGGAGAGGTGCTGTTTCCAGTAGCTGCTGTGGCCATCTCAAATCATCAATCACTCGGAGGCTCTGCTTACTGCAGTGGAACTCTCAGGTGCTTTACTGTTTCCTCACAGTTTCCAGCCTGTGTTTTAGAATTGTCAAACCTGATGTCAAGCCAGGCTTGGAGAGCAGCTTATCTTTGAAGTCCACGCTGCAAAGACCATGCTTTTTTGAGGAGAAAGGATGAAGCTGCTCTCTGAGGATTCCACCTGAGTGCTGGAAGTGCCTTTCAAGTTGCATAACATTTAGAGACAACTTTTTAAATTGAGTTAATTTCTCTTTTGTGGAAATGAATTCTTGGCTGTGAGGGTGGGCAGGCCCTGGAATACAATTCCCAGAGAAACTGTGGCTGCCCCTGGATCCCTGGAAGTGTCCAAGGCCAAGTTGGATGGGGCTTTGGAGCAGCCTGGGATAGTGGAAGGTGTCCCTGCCCATGGCAAGGAGTGGGATAGCTTTAATGTCCCTTCCAACCCAACCCATTCTGTGAATCTAATTTAGAAACATCCATCACATTTCTGGATTTAAAGAACTTCTTTGAATCTGCTTTGTGCAGTCCAGGTTTTAGGTTCAGCTGCAGAGTTGATTATTTCCTGCATTGCTTTCCTGACTACCTCATAACCTAATAAGCTAAAGATGAATTTTTCATGAATTTTGAAGTGCTCAGGAGCAATATCTGTGTTTTTTTCTCTGTTCTCCCTCAGGTTTGTAGCACATACCCTCCTGAGATCGTGGTGCCTCGAGCTGCCACCAAGGCTGTGGTGATGGGAAGTTCAAGGTTCAGGAGCCGAGGGCGGATTCCGGTGCTTTCTTACTTCTACAAGGAAAACAATGTTAGTGCTTCACTGCCTGCTGCTTGGGGGGAATGAGGGCTCTCCTTTTTGTCCAGTTCCCTTCTAATGAAAGGAAAGAATAAGATAATTATTAGATTCGAGGCCTTTGAGAACTGTGCTTCTCTTAATGGCTTTCATTCTGAGTCACAGAATGAGCTGAAGGCAAACACTTGGAATGCATCCAGAGCGCTGCCAAAAGTGCAGACTTTCCAAGCTTCCTGTTGGGAATTTTTTCTTAATCAGCTTTCAGCAATTCTTTCTGATGGGGGGTTTTTTAATCTCCTCTTTAGCTATATTGAACAATGTTTTGTTGAGTTATATGTTGACTTGGCTGGATATTCTTAGTATTGAAGAGAAGGAACCACCCTGAAATAAATCCCCACTAGTTTAGAATAAGTGAAGGTTTTATTTTTTTTTTTTTTCCACTGAAGACCAGAATGTAAATTTATAACTTTGCTGCCTCAGCAGTGTTTTAGATGCTGATGTTAGGAAAATTCAGTCACAGCCAAATTGTTGTTTTCCTGAGGAAGTTTGCCTTGACCTGGGCACTGCCTGGAGTTGTGCTGGAAACTAATGAAATTTCCTTAAAATACACCCAGTGCTGCTCTGAATGTGCAACAGCAACAACTGATAAGGAAAACTCAAAAGAATAGTTTGGAAATAGAAACCAAATGGAAAACATGAGAAATTGCTGCCTTCCAGTACTTTCAGGAGGCTCATGGAAAGGAGAGAGAGGGACTTTTGTAGGAGAGCATAATGACAGGGAAAGTGGGGGTGTTTTTAAACTGCCAGAGGGCAGGGGTGGATGGGATATTGGGAATTAGGAATTGTTCCCTGTGAGGGTGGGCAGGCCCTGGCACAGGATACCAGAGCAGCTGTGGCTGCCCCTGGATCCCTGGCAGTGCCCAAAGCCAGGCTGGAGCACCTGGGGACAGTGGAAGGTGTCCCTGCCCATTGCAGGGGATGGAATGAGATATTTTTAAGGTCCTTTCCACCCAACCATTGTGGGGTTCCATGAACTGCTCAGATTTAGGGTGGTGACCATCAGGCAGAGCAGGTGGAGCCTCCTCACCCTTACTACTCCAAGTTCTTCCCCCAGGTTGTCGCTTTGTGAAATGTCCCGGTGTGTGTCCCCCACAGCAGCAGCTCCTCAGAAGGAGCACAGGGGACACTTCAGCTGTGACTCTGCGGGGTGTGGGGCAGCAGGAGAGGCTGAAGCTGTGGGGCCAGAGGGCTTTGGGGCAGGAGGAGGCAGTGGAGCAGGGGTGACTGTGTGTGTGTTGCAGGCCGCCCTGTGCCGCTGCAGCCAGCCCCTGGCCGGGTTCAGCGCGCGCTGCCTGGAGGACGAGCAGATGCTCCAGGCCATCCGAGAGGCCAACCCCGGCTGCCCCTTCATGTATGTTGTAGACACGAGGCCAAAGGTACCTCCATGGGCTCTGGGCTGCTTTTAAATCCCTTGTCTGAGTGTGCAGTGCTGTTTCCAGTTCATTCTGTCACAATTCTGGGTCGGTCCTGCAGCAGGAATGTGGGATCGGGCTCCTGGTTCAGGGTGTACAATTGGAATGTGAAGTGATCTGAGGATTTTTGCCTCCTGGAGTACCTGGGTTTGAGGTTTGTGTTCAGGATGACCTGATGGAATTGGCAGTTGTGAACCTGGCTGGGACAGTGAAGCATTTTCCTGCAGAGTCCAAAAGGATAAAAGAGAGAACTGGAAGTGGTGTTGGAGAGAAGCCTCAGGATTCAGTTCCACGAGGCTGAGGTGCTTTTACTGGCAGATCTGGGAGGAAGTGAAGCTGTGAAAACCAATTTCTCCCTTTTTTTTTTTCCTTTTAAAAATAAGACTCATGATGGAACTTAATACCGCTCAGCCCCGCTATTTGGGGCTAGAACTTGAGAGCTGAGGGTTTATTTGAAAGGAAATATTTGCAAAATGAAAATTTTAATGACTGTCATCTTGAGGAACTGAATTTAGAAACCAATTCTCATTATTCTCTTGTAAACATATGGGTTACGAGTCTTGTTAGAAGCCAGTTAGAACACAAGAATTTTCATAGCACACAATTATTTAAAGGCAAAGATATAGATTGCTCTGATCATTTGAAAATTGAGCTTTCTGACAATCTGCTCCACTGTTCAGATCTTGCTGTTATTTACATAAACTTCTGTCTTATATAAACTACAAGTTTAATTAAACTGTGGCAAGGGGAAGGAAGAAAAAGTCTTTTTGGGGAAAATAGGGAGTGTTTCACATCTTGCTCCAGTGTGTATTTTGTCTTTTAGTGTGACGTTTCCTAGAGATCCCCTGTTCTGCAATGATATTTGCATTTCTTCTGGTACAGACAGCTGCCAGTGGCAGAGATGTGCCACTGAAATCCTTCACTGGTGTCAATTTGTGCTAAAGCATTTGGTGACAAGGGGAGAATTTATAACTGGTGACACTTCCCTTCTAAGCCAACCTGTCCCACTCTGGCAGAACTGAGGCACTGGGGTTATTTTACAGTTCTAAAGGTGTCTGCACCATGTCTGACTCTTCTTTCCCAAAAGCTGCCCAGATTGATAAGAGTCGGGGGGTTTGAGCTGCACTGTTTTCTGTCCCCACCAAAGATGTCCTGCTAGCTTTAGAACTGGTTTGGGGATTGTTAGAGCAACTGGCTTCTTTTCTGCTTCTCTCTTGCAGTTGCTTTGTTCTTTCTGCTCAACTTGAATGTTTCTGTTTCCCTCAGGTGGCTTAATTTCCTCTGTGCATGTATATTTGTGAAAATTAGAAATTCTCTTACTATTTTTATACCACCATGTATATAAAAATGTTAAAAATTGCTTTCCTGTGCCTGTCTCTGAATTTCCCTAGGTAAACTCACAGTTAGGGCAGTTTTAGTGTCTCTGATAGCAGAAACTGGGGGTTTATACTACCCTAAGCAGGTTTTAATGAGCCTCTGACTAATGAACTGCAGTAATTTTAATGAAACAGCTGAAAGAACTGTCTGGGAGGTGGGGAAGTACAGCTGAGTAACAGCTTTGTCCAGTACATTTTCTGGGAGATTTAAACAAAAAAAACAAAGGACTTGCAAAACAGCCTCTCTGAATTTTGTTGTGATTTTCTCTTCTGCTCCTTGAATTTGCCAGTTGAATGCCATGGCCAACAGAGCTGCTGGGAAGGGCTATGAGAATGAAGATAATTATGAAAACATTCGTTTTAAATTCATTGGCATTGAGAACATCCATGTGATGAGGAGCAGCCTGCAGAAGCTGCTGGAAGGTCGGTACAGCCCTGGGAGGGGTTTGTCTTTCTTACTCCTCTGGACAGAACTTCCTGCCAGATATCCAAATGTTCCATGCATAAACGTGTTCTGATAGAGGCAAAGTCAGCATCTTGCTTTGTTTGCTGCATTCAGGTAGCTGAAATTATTAATGCTGTTAAAATGCTTTCCTGCTTGACATTTTCTTTGTTCTTGTGCTTGATTTTATAGTGGTTCAAAAATTGCAGCTAATACTAAAAGCATTCCTTGATGCATGTGCCAAATTAATAGACAAAGGTTAGAGAAATATTACATTTTATAGCTAAGACAGTCATTGTTGCTTCATGACTTATTGAAAGAAAACAAACAGAGGTTGTTCAGAAATGCTTTTTGGGGTTTGCTATATTTGGAGTATTAACAGTATTTCTGAGTTGAAATGCATGATCTTCCAAAGACTTGAGTCTCATACATACTTTGTTCTAACTTTTCATCTATTTCTGATTCCTTTTAACCAAACTAATTTAAAATTTATTAAATTAATGTTTTAATGTATAAATATATGAAAATGAAGAGTAATTAAGCTCATTGTGATCATAGAGAAGAATGCAAAGCAGGGCAAAAGAGTCACCTAAGCTTTGGGGATAAGAGGGTAATGAGGCCCAGAGTTTCATCTATAGAATTTTGGACAATTTTGCAATTCAAGTTCCGTCATCCAAAATAGGAGTTTAATATTTTGGTACCCACCATAATGCTCATCTTTTTTCAAAATAGTTGGGTAATTGGTGCTCCTGGGTGGCCCTGCAGGATCCATGGTGACCTTGGACAAAAATGGTGCTGCTCCACCCAAAAGAGCGGCCTGATCACAACTCTGAGTCCTCAGTTGCCTCTTCCTGGCAGATTTATTTTGTGGTGGGAGAAGAGGCAAAATAAAAACTTGCTTGCTCCCATATTCTTCTCCAACAATGATAAAATATTGTTCACTGGGGTTTATGGACTGTTCGGAGCTTTATTACTCTAAGTGTTTTCTGTGCTGGATTTCATTAGAGCAGCTGAGTTGTCTTCAAGGTTAGATTTGTTATTTCTGCCTCTAAATTAGAGAGAAATAAGTTCAAATCTTTGGGAAATGAGTGAGTGGTTGTGGATGTGATGGTGATTTAGAGTGAAGTTACAGCTCGCTGCTGGAAGAAACACAGCTGAATAAATAATGAATTACCCTTTAAACAAAGAGTAGGAGGAGATTTCCAGAGGCCCAAATTCCAGAAAACCAGCGATTTTGTTAAATTGTGAATTTTAGATACACTACCATTAGTGTGTCCTTTAGACAGGATATTGCTGCAAGCAGTTAGAATTTTCAGGGGAATAATGAGGAGGTGCAGGGGGTGCTGTTCTGACTCTCTGTGTGCTCCCAGTGTGTGAGATGAAGTCCCCCTCCATGAGTGATTTCCTGACGGGGCTGGAGAACTCGGGCTGGTTACGGCACATCAAGGCTGTGATGGATGCAAGTGTCTTCCTGGCCAAGGTAAAGCTGCTCTCCAGCTGCATTCCAAAATGTCTCCTGCTGTGTTGGGGGCTGCTGCGAGGTTGGGAAGGTGGCTCTGAGGAGAAGGTGTTGTTCAGGTTGGCTTAATCTCTCCAAAAATGTTGGGTCGTGCAGCTGCTGGGCAAGTACAGGTCCTGTGTCATGTATTGTACCAGGGCTTTATTAGAGCTCATTTGAAACATCACAAAATGGGAATAAATGACCTTTATAAGCCTTTCTATAGTGCAAACAACTCCTAACCCTGTGCTCGTTATTCCTCCACTGCTCTGCTTGAATTGAGGGGTTGTTTTGACTGTTTTATTTTTTCCTGGTTTGATGTGATGTGAGCATTAATTTGATTATTCAATACAGTTCTTATTTCTGCAGAGCTGGTGGCTTTGCAGGTCAGGCAGAAGGGAGGAAGGAAGTCACTCAGGAGTAGTACAGGGTGTGCAGGAAGTGTGTGGTGAGAGGAGTGAGTAGTAAACGTTGGTTGTCTCACAATTTGCCCACATCACGAGCCAGAAACTTTTGTTTCGCTCCTGCCCTAAGTGGCAAAAAGTGATGGGATGGGGGGAGGTTGGGATCAACTCTTCTAATTTATCTTCAAGTTCTAATCCCTGGGTGTCCAACTGTTTTTCACTCATCCACCAATTTTTTTCCTCAGAGGAAGAGCCTGGGAATCCTTGGCCTTCCTGAGATCACAGGGGCTGTTTTTTACCAGCCTTCTGCAGCACTTTGCTCTAGCTGGGGCTTCTTTTGATGGACTGGTGCATTTCCACAGGCCAGAGGAGGCCTGACACCATTCCCCTGGGGTGCTGGGATGATGCAGGGAGGGACAGCCTTTCCTTGAGCTCTGTGCTGTGTCCCTGGCAGGCTGTGAGGGAGGAGAGGGCCAGCGTGCTGGTGCACTGCTCCGACGGCTGGGACCGCACGGCCCAGGTCTGCTCCCTGGCCAGCCTCCTCCTGGACCCCTTCTACAGGACCTTCAAAGGCTTCATGGTAAGGACATGCTGCAATTCCAGTGCCAGCAGGCCCTGGGGGAGGGCTCAAGCCATTTCCTGGGACAAGTGTAGGTGACCTACATGAAGCAGCTTTGGTTCTGTAACGAGCTGGAATTGCTGTGAGCAGCACGGCAGCAGCTGATTGATAATTCCCAAATCCTTGTTTCCTGCACTGTCTACATGGCAGCCACTAATGAGAGATCTCAGCAAAGGATGCAGCTCTGGCAGCAATCCACCAAAAAGTGCTGGAGGAGTTTGTCCTGCAAGCCTCTTATCTGCTGGGACTTGAAATTGGGTAAACCCAGCCCTGTCCTCTGTCCATCAGTCAAATCTGCATAATTTTACACCTTTTAAAAAGCCTTTCATTTTCTGTTGGCTGTTTGCTTCTAGTGCAGGCTTTTTGTTCATTTGCAGCCATCCCTGCATGAATTCAGGGCAGTCTGTGATGTTTTTTCCATTCATCTCTGGTTAAATACCTGAAGAGTTGCTCTGTCTCAGGAGAGCTCCTTGAAGGAGTCCCTGAAATCAGAACAATGCAGATTTTGCTTTTTCCAGTGCCAGGATTGTTTCTTTGCATTCCATGCTGGTTTTATTGTTTCTATTTTTGTTTCTGGATTATAATGCAGTCTTTTAACAGTTAAAATTCCATCAGCACCTGAAACATCTGCCTGGGCTTTGTCTCTGAACAATCCTGCTTGAACTGAGAACAGGATTTCGCTCAGGAGCAGGAGCAGTGACACAGACAAATCCCTGTCTGTCCTCATGGTTTGTAGGCACAAGTCCTCTGACATGGGGTTATTCCTAAATGAATTCATCAGCAGTGCAAGGAATGGAAAAATTCAAAAAGCAATTTAAATGAAGTTTTCTAAGAACTTTGTTGTGAGTTTCTGCCTTCCTCCTCTTAACCTGGATGATGATAGCAGGAATTATCTTCAGATATGATCCAGCAAAGTAATGATGGATGCAGCTTTAGTCATGTGGTTCCTTGTGAGAAATCTGTAAGGAAAACAGATTATTTTATCTTATTTATCTGCAAGGAAAACAGATTATAACAGTTATTATTTTCTATAACTGCAGTAATCTATTTAAAAAATGCCACACAGTTGTTCAAATTTCATCCTGAACTCCTCATTATGCAGCTGTACTTCATATATTTCTTTTTGTCTGTTAAGCATTTGCTGAACTCCAGTTGCCGATTTATTTTGCTGAATATCACAACACTTTTTTCCAAATTAAATAACACAGTGTAATATTAAGCTGTTAATTCTTTGAGCTCAATATATTTATATATTATGATTTTAACAACTTAGAAACTCTCAAAATTATAGTTTTGAAATGAGTTCTGATTCCAGCAGGGCCATTGCCTTGGTTACTATAAATTACAGTTCCCATTAATTTCTGGGGATATATTTATAGCAATAGGGTCAGCAGGTTGTCAGCTTTTTAGGCTTTAACATCAAAGGTTTAATTTTCCTTTTTTAATGAAATGAATGCTCTTTTCTTAATCCCCATTTTGAACCTGCAGGTCCTGATAGAAAAGGAGTGGATTGCAATGGGCCACAAGTTCTCACACAGGTGAGAGGGGCACATTCCCCTGGGGGGAGTGAAACCAAAACTGTCTGCAGGTTTAGGGGATCCCATCAAAAATTGAAATGAAAAGGAGAAAGCATTGGGAAAATATTGGCATTGGTGACAGAGAACCAGGGTCTGCTAAGGCTGCTATTTCATCACTGTGTTTTTATTGCTTTACGAAATCATGGCTTGAATTCTGGGTGTTTTCCTACCTGTAAAATTCTATTTGAGGAGTGCTAATCATGGAATCACAAAGGTTGGAAAAGACTTCCAAAATCATAAGTTCAGCCAGCACCCAGCACTTACCCATGTCCCCAAGTGCCACATGCACACATCTCTTGAGCACTTCTAGGGATGGTGACCCCGCTCTGTCCCATCCACAGTGCTCCAGGCAGACCTGGGAATTCTCCTGCAGCCATCCCTGGGAGAGGCTCTCTGCCACTTTCTCAGGACTTTGCAAAGTTCAAGACATAAACCTGACCTGGAAGAAAACTGATGGCAAAGGGACGTTTTTTGGTGGGTGACAGAAGATATATTCTGCTTTTTGCACCTCTCTAGGTGCGGCCACCTGGATGGGGACCCCAAAGAGGTGTCCCCAGTGTTCACACAGTTTGTGGAGTGTGTGTGGCAGCTGATGCAGCAGTTCCCCTGCTCCTTCGAGTTCAGCGAGCGCTTCCTGCTGGAGATCCATGACCATGTTTATTCCTGCCAGTTTGGTAACTTCCTGGGCACCTGCCACAAGGAGAGGGAGGAGCTCAGGTGAGCTGGGGCTTCCTGGAGCCAGCAGGCCAAAGATCCCTTGGAATGTCTGAAAAAGGGTGTGTTTTATGGAATTGGAGATTGTGGAACATAAGCATTTATCAAGATAGTGTTACACTTAACCTACGGGAGAAAAGAATATTAATTATATCCCAAAAAAGATGTTTTGGTTGGGAGCACAACAGTAACTTGCAGATATCCCTCCTGGACAGGAGAGTGTCCATTTTAATATCCTGTGCTTATGAAATCAATCAGATCCAGCACAAAACCAATTCTTAACTCCCTTAATCTAATTCTGCTTCCAACAGCTGCAATTATTAATCCACTTGCTGCTTTTTTTAGTGATCAGATGTTCTTTGTACTTGCCAGAATCTTTGAGAAGACCCATTCCCTGTGGCCTTTCCTCTTGCAGAGGAAGCAGGAGTTGAGAAATCCTTTGTACAGAGGATTTGCAGCTTACAAAGAGCTCCAACCAAACACTCTACCTTTCAGTTTCCAGTAAGTGGCTCAGCTAAGCAGGGGAAGGAGGGGGACGCTTCTTCCATTGGTAACACAGGTTAAATCAAATAAATTTGCACTGGTTTTGGCTTGTTTTACTTTTCCCCTCCATTCCTCAGGCATAAACTAAGAGGAGCAGTGCAAAGGTGAAATAAATTCAGATGCTGTAATTTAAAATAATATTTGTAATTTGGTGTTGAGAAAGAGGGTGGAGAAGGGCAAGGGAAAGCAGAACTTCAGACAGAACCACACACACCCCCTGAGTGCTTGCTCTGTCACATTGAAGTGTTTGAAAAAGTTCCTCATTTCCTCCTTTTTAATGTATATTAAGGAAGTCTTTCAAACAAGAATTTTGGTGCCCAGTTCAGGGTTTTTCCCAGGCTTTGTTTCTGCATCACTCCTGGGCCCTGCTGTGAGAGAGGGGGATGAAAATGGGATTTTATGTGCTGTATGTGCAAATGAAAGTTGGGAGGTTGGGCTGATGCCGTGTGAAGGCTGCCCTGGAACAGAGGCTGGATGGAGCTAAAGAATAAAGCAGGGATTTATTAAAGGATCTCCTCAATGGATCCACCCTGGGCAGCACCAGAGCCCAGCCAGGGCTGCACCCAAGATGAACCAAAATGGTCCCAAAATGCACGAGCGCTCCCGGGGGCTCTCCCTGGGATCAGTTCTGCTCCATTGGCACCTTGGAGTTCATTGTCCCATTCCAGCTTTAGCCCAGGCAGTCCCACCCTGCTTGTTTTTCTCTCTCCAGCCCACGGTGTTTGTGCTGCTGGGGCTGAGATTTGGATCATTTATCCTTGGTCCCCAGCTGGAGAAAGAATTCTTTTGTCTCCCTGCTCTGTGCAGAGAGCTTATCATCCCATAATATGAAGCCCAGACCCACACACTAAAGTAGAATAGAATCTGAAAAATATGAAATATGAGGCATCACCAGGGGGAAAATTAAGGAGTGGAAGATAAACTGCCCAAGCTTCCAATAAATCTGCTATTTAAAAAATATATATTTTCATCCTATTTGAATATTTACTGCCAATTTTTTAACTTGAAGAGAACTTACCCATTGCTCCTGAATTGAATAATCCAAGGCTGTGACAGATTTTAAAATTAATTCCTAATCTCAATTTATTAAAAATATTAACCAACATCTATCTGTTGGCAATAATGTCCCAGTGAGCCCCTAATTTCTGGTTTTGTTGCCTGTTTTGAGGTTCTGGTGTGGCATGTACAACCGCTTTGACAAGGGCATGCACCCCAAGCAGTGTGTGCTGGACCAGCTGCTGAGCTGCCTGGGCCACAAGGTGACACTGGAGGACAACGCATCCGAGCTGGAAAACGTGAGGCACGGGGCTGCAGATCCCCTGGGGGTGCGGAAACCTTAACTGACATTAATACTGGCATTATCATATAAATATTATAATGGAAAATATAGATATTGGCCATTAAAAATGAAATTGTACATGTATTTTAGATATAAAATATAAATATATATATATATAGTATATATATAAATATATTGTATAAAATGATACATAAGTATGGGCCATTAAAGATAGAAATTGTACATGTATTTTATATCTATAATACAAATATATTATATATATATGTGGTATAAAATTATGCATAAATATTGGCCATTAATGATAGAAATTGTACATGTATTTTCGATATATACTATAAATAGAGATATAAATATTTATATATATTAAAAAATAGATATATAGTATATATATTTAAAAATATATATATTGTATGAATATATGGTATAAAATTAGACATAAATACTGGCCATCAAATACAGAACTTGTACATGTGCATGTATATACATGTACATGTATATATCTATAAAAATAAATGCATGTGTATTTTATTTTTAATATATTTTATAAGTATATAATATATAAAATACATGCATGTGTATTTTATATATAATATATAAGTATATAATATAAATATATGGTTTAAAATTTTACACATATATTATATAAATGTTTTCCATTAAATTTATAAATTTTTTAGTATAGAGATATATTTTATATATATATATATAATATATTTATACATTACATAAATATATTGTATAAAATTAGACATATATATAAAATATAAATATATATATTTTGGGCATTAAATATGGAAATTATACATTATACATATATTCCAGAAATATATGTATAAATTATACATATATAATATAAACATTTTAATATAAATATTGGCCATGAAATATCGGCATTTATTTCCCCTCTTCCCATCATATAAAAACAAATCAGATAAATTTACTGACAATTCGTGCAGATTTATTAAATAGCTCTTAAAACAATGTATGCAAAGATGCCTCTTCATATCTCTCCTAGGAAAAAGAATCCTGTTGAAGTTTTAGTTTAAAAAATATGAGTGGGGTTGTTTTTTGGGGATTTTTTTTGCCATTCACTATTGTAGGGCCAGGATCCAAGTCAGCCCTTCATTTCAGAGGAAATATCATCCTTATTTTACTCCCAACATAAATACAGTATGTTCTGTATTTTATTAAAAGCTCCATCTCAATAACTGGTGTTTATGCTATTTCAAGGTGCTGGAGCTTTGTTTTGTCCCTGTTCTTCAGGGACTGCCAGAGTCATTTGGCTGAGGTCAGGAGATGCTGACACCACGGCTGTCTAAATGACAGATGAATCAAACCACATGAATCAACCAGCTGGGTGAAAAAGCCCACAAAACCTCTGTGTGTTAAAAACCCCAAAACACCTCCAACAAATTAAAATACGGTTTTTAAAATACACCAGTGAGAAGAACATCAGTGTCCTTTGCTGGGGTAATGCGAATGCTGGAAACTTCAGCTTTATTAATGAAACACTGATGTTTTGTCAGACATGGCAGGATCTGTGTCCAGGTATTTCTGATGCTTGTGTCAGGCATTTGAGGATTTGTGTCCAGCTACTTCAGTGCTGGATTTCAGAGCTGGGAAAGAGGCAGTGCCACAGGGCTGTTGTTGTGTTGACACCTGGTTTTTGTCCCTTTCTGGCATCTAGGTATTAATTATTTGTTTTTATGCCTTTCTATTTGTGCAGAAACTCCCTATCCTCGACGGCCCCTTGCCCAGCCAAGGCTGCACCTCACCCAAGGCAGGAGCTGCTGCTGCCAAAGCCCCAACTCCTCCTCAGGACTGTGCAGAGGGAGCAGCCCCTGTGCTGAGCAATGGCCCCTCCCTGGGACACCAGAAGCACAAGGAGAGCCCAGCCCAGCCCCGGGATCTCAGAGCCTCCAGGGAGGATGGGCAGGCTCAGCACCAGGGATGAGCTCTGGGAGCTGATGGGAGAAGCTCTGGGGAGCTGCTGCAGCCCCCATTTGCAGCTGAGTGTGAGTAGGGGTGTGCAGGGCTGGGGGAGCAGCTGCTGGGGGACACCTCCTGCAGCTCAGGTGATGCAGAGCTGCCAGGAGCCTGCCTGGCATTCCTGGGAACTTGGCTTTCAGTGGCAACACGTGCATTTCTGAGGGTTAGGGCTGCCTGCCAGCTCTGCTGTTTGAGGCTGGAAGAAATCTTGCCAATTCCATTGGAGGAGCTGGGCAGTAACTGCAGGAGGAAGGATGCAAATCCCTCTGTTCTCTGTGGTGGTCCAAGGTCATCTTAAAACCAGAAAAAAATTCAGTCTGTCTTCAAATGATAAAAAACCCCCAACCTTTCTTAGCTGTGAATGAATCTCTGCATGGACCCTTGCCTTGTAGCAGAACTGATTCATGTTTTGTTTCCTATGCATATTTGTTACACAAAACCAAGCCCCCTGTGCCTTCTCTGAGACTGTGTCCATGTCCAGCCAGGCCACTGCAGGTTTTGTGCTGGAGTTTGCAGTGTGCTGTTGGTCCTGTCTGTAGTCAGTGTTTGTGAGGAGGTTTTCTTCTGCTGCAGCTTCTCCACGGTTTTTGCTGTTCCCCTGAGTTCAGCAGCTTCTTTCCAAGCTGACCTCTTGAAGAACCAGCTTTTGTGGGCTTCCTTTTTTGATGGAAGTGCAGAGCCAGCCCATAACACATGGATTTGTCGTAAGAGGGAGGATTGGAAATGAGGGAAGACAGCAGAACATTTATGTGGAATTTTTCTATTATTTTATGATCTTGGTTAACCTGAAGCAAGAGGGTAACTCTGTTCCAAGCTGGAATCATTGATGAGACAGCAATTACAGATGGAGCTGTGTTCTGGTATTGAAATGGGGCCTGAAATGATAAAATCACTTGCTGAGTGATTCTTGGGAATGTTCAGATTCCGGGAACTTTAGGGATGTTATGTCTGTTTCATGAACAGTATCTCTCATGGCAATGAACTTGGAAAGAAACAAGGACTTCTCTCCCAGGGATTGGGTGTCACAAATGAGTGCTTGAAGGTCACCCAAAGAATCCTTGGGAGAGGCATCAGCAAAGGCAGGTTTGATTATAAAAAAGTGTGACCAAATTCATTGGCAAGGTTCACTGTGTTACTTATTAAATGGTTAAAGCACACAGAGAAAAACTGAAATAGAAAATGAAGTGATCTAAAACTAGTATCAACCAGCGTGGAGGCTGGGGATGGAAAAGGGTCAGGATGAAAGGAGATGAGACAGATTCTCCTGTTGAGTCACAAGGTTCAGAGTGCATCATCCTCCCAGACTGAGCCGTGGAATTATCAGCAGTTCAGGCCTAAAGGTTTCCTGGAATCAGAGAATCAGTAGCAACACTTGAACTCAACAGCAGGGAATCAGCAGGTAAGGAATTGAACAAGAGGTTTATGTAGAATTCCCTATAAGCACAACAGGAGCTCCCTTAGAGGCTGAACTCATAAATCCAAAGTACTCCATAATCCAGGAGGGCAGCATTCCCAGCTTTGGCTCTGGCACAGCCCCAAGGACTGGGTCCAGGTGTATCCCTGGGAAAAATTCCTCTCAAGTTCCCTGATTACAGAGAGTTGCTTTTATCAGAGTCACTTTCCAGCCTGGCTGCAATTTGGATCAATATCTTCCTTTGAAAGGTCAATAACAAAAGTGTTCCACTTGGGTTGTTATTCAGGCAAGAAAAATCAGATTCTAGGGCTGGTGGCTAAACCCCGGAGTTTGTACTCCAGCCCTGGGAGCAGCCAATGTTCCTGATAAGCTCAGGGTGCTGCTTATCAAGGTCAAGGCCTGAGGACATTTCTGAGATTCTGGTGTGGCTTTGGTGGCTTGAAGGATTCCAGGAAAGCTGTGCCACTGTCCTTGTTCTGTGCTGAATTGCACAGAATCCCCCTCTGCACCTTCGTTCAGGATGCTGCTCTGCTCTCTTCTCAAGCTGTTGTTTCAATTAGGTGCTGCCATTAAGCTTTCAAATCAGTTTTTCTCTTTTATAAAAAGTTTGGAAGCCAACTGAAAATATTTGAGGCTTCCCAATCTCCAGAGAAAGTAGAAACACTCTACTGTAACACCAGAAAGTGCAATAACTCTGCTCATGTGCTTTTAACCCATGGTGAAATCACTGGGTAGATCCAGTGACCAAAAACAAACCAAAACCTCCCTGAGTGGCTGTTCTGGGTAGGAAAATACCTATCTTATAAAGCACATGAAAGATCCAAGGAAAAAGAGAGCACAGAGTTTCTCCACTGCCTGAAATGGCAGAGAGGAATTTTTTTAGTATTGAGGGTTTGTCAGACTTAAATGAAGTTGTTGTCAAGGAAGGAGTGGGAGCTACAAGAGTGATTGATCAAAAATTAAATCCTGGAAATACTGACCCAGGTGTGACTGATGGATCAGCCCTGCCTTTTCTTTCCAGGGGGTAATGGGCATCATTCATCCCCACATCTGAGAGAAAATGGAACATGAACCAAGACAGGCATTTTTTAGGACCAATTATTCTATGGATCTTCGGTTCTTTGAATATTATTAATAAATTGTCTAATTTTCATTAGCAATCCAAAATTGGAGAGGGTTTTGATTGACTACTGAAAGACTTAAAGGTGCTATTTGTTAATTATTGTACAAATCCAGCTTGCAGAAGGCTCCTGGAAGTGTTTGTGTGGTGCTTTGCCTTTGGAATTGCCATTGGAGTAGTTTAATAATCTCTCCTTGTTCCTAAAAAGGTTGTCTCCACAAAACTCCAATGTTGCTACAAGCGTGTACAACCACCACAGGTTACTCAGTGTTGTAAGCTTGGAGTAGTCTTGCTGCTTTTAACTCCAGAGCCAAATCCAAAAATTAATGTATTTTAAAACTCTTGGATTTCATGTGTACAGGCTCAGGCCAAGGCTGCAGAGTATTAAAAGCCTTTCATGCTGATGCTGGAATTTAGGAGCTGGAAAAGATTCCAGGGTTTCCTCTTTTTCCATGAGCCCATGGTTTGAAAACCAATGAACGAGAAGCTTTTTGGTTTTGGTGGCAGAAGTGAGGAGCTGCTCAGAGTCCTGCAGTGTCCTGATCTCAGCTGGGATCTGCTGCCCAGGAAAGCTCTGTTCCCTGCTCCTGGAGCATCCTCTGCTCCCTGTAAGTGTGGAAGGGATGGAGAAGCTGTTATTGCTATTTGGGATCTGCTGCTGCTGGGGAAAGTTTCTGCAACTGATTTATTCCTAGGGGAACAGCCATGCTCTGTGAAGTCAGAAATCCTGCTTTTATTTGGAACAGTGCAGTTCTTTCCATTTGGATTCCTGTGACTGGGAGAACTGGGAGGGAAGAGGGATCTGATTTGCTGCAGATGAGCTCTGCTTGTGGAAAACTCTCCCTTTTTTGGAGCTGCTCCTGCTTCACCAAGACATTCCAGGGCTTCACCAGGACATTCCAGAGCTTCACCAGGACATTCCATGGCTTCCTGCCTTTTCCCAGTGTCTCCTGTGCTACAACCAGGTGTAACCTTGTAGTGGGCCTGTCATATTCTGTGTTAAAACTCCTACTCTGAAGCACAAGAGGGACTCATGGAGCTTCATTTGAAATGTCTTAAATGTGAGCTTTGTTCTGTGTATTCTTAAATTGGGGTTTTCTTTTGCAGTTGTCACCTGTGGGAGAGAAAATCCAATTGGTGCTGTTTGCTCTGCAGGGAAAAAATGGGAATAATTGGGTTGTCCATTGTTTTAGTTCTCCATGGCCTCTTTAGGGGTGAGGAAAAGCAGTTTGTAAAAGCTTTTAGGTCTGATTTACTCTTGGTCTGTTCTTGTGCATAAAAGTCCACCTGCTCTGATCCAGAGCCATCCTGACTGGGATGGAGGAGGAGATGGGCTTGGAGGGAGCTGGGAAGTTTCAGAAAGCTTCCTCAGTCCTGCAGAATGGGATTTGGCAGGAGCTGAAAGTGCCCAGAGCTCCACAGGATCTCCAGGTGGGAATGTTGGTGAGGAGCAGCCCTGGGGGTGTTGTTTCCATCACTTCTGGGAGCAGAGAGCCCTCAGAGGTGCTCCCAAAGCTAGGGCACCCCCAGGAAAAGGCATGGAAAGGGGAAAAGCTCCTGTTCCAGGCTCCTTCAGCCCCTAGCAGCCCTGGCCCAGAGGAATTTGCAGGCAGGATGCAGTTCTTCATATCCAGGAGTGCCCAGGCACATTCCAAAGGGGTTTTCCTCTCCTCCCACCCCCTCTGCTCTGTGCTGAGGGCTGGGCTTGGTTTTACAGGGATCTCTCCCAGCTGTTCCTGTTTCTGTCCCTCCCTCACACACATCCAGGCATTCCCTGGGGGAAGAACCTGCTCTGAATGTCCTATTTTTGTTTAATTATCACACGGCACTTGATTAATTAGCTGAGGAAGCAGGGGATGGTAAAGCCTGTGCTTGGGACCAGGCAGCCAGCTGGGCCATTCGTTAGGGCAGGTTTGCTAATGACATTAATTACTGTGACCCCCTGGGAGCTGCAGGAGCAGGGCAGGACCAAAGGGTTTATTTTTTTATCATTTCTATGTTTCCATCTATTTAATGTAGCAGAAACTACTGGAGTAACTCAGCACTGGATCCCATCCTCTGGCTGGATTTTCCTTGGCATCCCCAACCTGATCCTTGTAGGAATGTCCCTAAAACCATGTGTAGTGCTGGCTGGGAATGTCCCTGTTGTTGTTTGTGTCTGTGTCGCTGCTGAGGGGCATTTGTGGGGGTGAGCCCCAGTTTGTGCCCTGAGGGCTCTGTGGGGCACTTCACTTCTTGCACTGCTTGAAGCTGATCTTGTCTAGAGGAAAATTGTGTCTTTTCTCTCTGTTTGTCCCATGGAGTCTCTCTTGGATTCCAGGTATTTTTATTCCCTACAAAAATAAACATTTGGCCTTTTTAAAGGAAGTGGCTGCTCTGTTTATTGGGTGGTAACTCAGAACCCCACATTTGGAAAGGTGTAGTCAGCTAAAGGATCTTAATTAATGAGGTGAGTGTGGAGCTACTTAACCTCTACAGAACAGAAATGGGGTGATCCCCCTGGTTTGGGGGAATGGGGAGTGCAGGGTGTTAAAAACAACCCAAAAAGAAACATAACAAGTGGAAAAAAGGGAATGTAACCAATGGCACTGTATCAAATCTCAATATCTTCTGCAAATTGTGCTATTCTGGGTCTTTTTATATTTTAATTTTCCTTTCTGTGCTCAACCCAAGTGTCTCCTCAGTGTTTCCTAGCTCCTGGAGAGCTGTCTGTCCCTCACTCACAGTCCAGCTGCTGATGGTATCATGGAAAAATACTCTTTTATCCCAGTTTTTCAGAGATGGGTAGTGAGGTGTTAGAGATTTGAGTGCAGACTAACTCAGCTGAGATGGGAAAATGCTCAAGAGGGAGATTCCAGGTACAAAACTTCCCTGTGGATCTGGGAACAGACTCCAGACCCATTAGCCAGCCCCTGATGAATATCTTCCCCTTAAAAATGGGTATTTTCTATGTTTTAAGGGCCTGGCACCGGGGTACACTCAGTCCCTGTGTGTTCCTCAGGCTTTTCCCCTTCTTTCTAATTTTAAATGTTCTTAATGCTGCCAGTGAAATCCTTCATTTACCTTAATAAGACTCGCCTTGCATTTATTGGATTATTAGCATTAACACTGGCTAGAATTGATAAAGCTGCAATTTAATTTGGGGAAAATTTGGACAAAATGTGTGGTAATTGGAGTTTCTTTGCGCTGCAAACAGCTCATGGATTCCAGTGTTCTCCTGGAATTTTATTTTCCTTCTCTTTGGAGAAGTGGAGGGTATGGGAGGGGGATACAAAACCTCTCTCAACAACAGCTCTTGGAGCTGTGGGAAAGAGGGAAGGGAGCCAGTGTGAATGGGAATCAATAAAAATCCATAAAGAACCAAGATCCCCATGGATGGAGCAGGGGCTGGGCAGCTGTGGCTGCCCCTGGATCCCTGGCAGTGCCCAAGGCTGGGTTGGACAGGGCTTGGAGCAGCCTGGGACAGTGGGAGATGGGATGGAATGGGATGGATTTTAAGGTTCCTCCCAATCCAAACCATCCTTTTATCCTGTTTTCCAAAAGGGAAGGTGCAGTGGAAGTAAAGAGATGAACTTCTGGAGCTCCAGTGCTGCCAAAATTCCTCAAGGAATGATTCGTGGAGGAGAAGAAACATTACTGGATTCCTCCTTCCTTTCTAATTCTGTATTTTGTGTGTTGATGCACCAAATAAATGGGGAATTTCCATCAGCAGGGCCCTGGCAGGGATGTGCAGTGCAGCCAAGGGATGCTGGGGTGCTGTCGGTGCCCTCTCCCGGGTAATCCCTGGATAACACTGGCTAATTCCTGGCTGACACCGGGAGCACGGTGCTGCTGGAGCCCCTCCCGTGTGCACGGTGAGCAGCAGCCGGGAGAGCCCCGGGGCTGAGGTTTGGGGTGCTGGGAGCAGAGTGAGGGCACAGAGGGAGATTCCAGAGCCCAGAGCTGTGCTCTGGCAGTGACTCCCGGCCCAAAGGCAGGAGACACAACAGCCCCATTCCCCAGCTCTGCTTTCCCGACCTTGAGCACTGTTAGTAAATCCCTAATCCCTGCAAAATCATTTATTTGGGACTGTTTAGCTCTAAACTTTTAACTGCTTAGCCCTTTAAATCCACAAGCTCATTAGCCTTCTTCAGCTGCGTTAATAACAATAATCTCTTTAATGGAAGCAACTCTGGACAGAATTTACCTTCCCAAAAAACCCATTGACTGCCATTCAGCACCCTTCTGCCCTCTAATTCCTGCCCAATTAGCAGGGAGCTGATCAAGAGCTGCTTGGCCCAGAGCAGAGGCCAGCTCAGCCCCTGGCTCAGGCAGAAGGTGGAAGCCTTTCCTGACTCCTCATCCTTCCCTGGAGTTTGAAGCTCATCCCAAATGGGCCAGGCTGGTGTGTCACCCCTGCCTGGGCTCCTGCTGGGGCTGGGCTGCCTCTGCTGCTGGCAATATCCCCCAGGATGGATGGAAAGGTTCCTGCTCCAGGAGAGTCTGGGCAGGATTCCAGCTGGGCTGGAGAGCTCTCGGGTTTGCCTCCTTAGAACTGGGTTTAATCTGCTCCTTGTTCCTAAGATCTCTCCTGGTTAACAACTAAACAGCAGCAGCAACAACAAAAGAATAAGCAGTTTATCATTAATTTGCCATTCAAGGATTTTCCTTTCATCTCCAAGTTTCCTACATTTCACATTTTCTAGCACTTCTGTTGTCTGCACTCCCTTTTTTCCCTTTATAACACTCTGTTGTTTTAATGGCTGCTTTGATTTCTGTGGTTTGTGGAAAGGGTTTCCAGCCAGGCTTGCTTTCTGTGGCTGCAGCATCCCTGTTGTGGTTGCACCTTCCTGACACTCAGGAAAAATAACCCCAAACTCCCCTCTCCTGCTCCAGGGCTCATCCACATCACACCCTGTAATTCCATTCCTGCTGCTGGCTTTGGGGAATTGACCTTCGTGAAGCAATAATCTATTTTTGGGTGAATTTGGAGAGGAAAACCAAAAGCCTAAACCAAATCAATGCTGACCATTTTCCTGCATTCCAGGCTTTCCATTGAGAGGCTCCAGAGCAGGAATGTGGTGGTGGCACAGATCACACACTTCACAGAGCACCCCGATTTCTCTTCTTGCAGCAGTGGGGATTTTCCTGCTGGATAATTTGGGTCTCTCACCTTATCTCATACCATGATAAGGCTGCCCCAAACCACCAGCCCGTTCCTGCTCCATCGCCAAGGAGTTTGGAGAGGGTTTAAAGGGAGCTGGATAAAATAGGATTGCACTTCCCAGCTGACAGCTTTTGATAAGAGCCCAGTGCTGCTCTCTACTCCTTTTGTTTGCCCTGGGAGGTTTCCTGCCTTCCTGGGGCCTCAGGAAGCCCTGGCTCTGGTTCCTTCTGGCAGGTGCAGCCCAGAGCAGCTCAGGTGGGAAATCTGGGCCATCTTCAGGACCTTTTGTCCTTGTGTCTAATAAATCATTTTGGAGGTTGCAAATGGCCATTTGTATCACTCTGAAGAGGGAGAGGGAGGGCAGGAGAGGGGTTAAGAGGGAATTTGAGTGCCTGGCAGCAGCCAAGGTGAGGTACAGGCTGATGCTACCCTGGCAGGGACCCCAAACCCCCTTGTTCCCTGCAATTTCTATGGGGAAACAGCGGAGGAAAAGCTTTGTGTGTGCTCAGAGGGGTCAAGCAGCCTCCAGCACCTGTCCCAGCCTCCCCCACCCCACTGCCCTCTCTATATTTACCCAGGGGGAGCTTTCCAAGAATGGAAGTGGTAAGATAAAACCCCAGAGGGGCTAAAATTAGCCCCGGCACCCCGGGCCAGTCCCGCGGTGGCATTTCAGCTGTGAGCTGCACAGCTCCATCCCACACAGCCCCGTCCATCCCAGCCCTGCCACAGCCTCTCTGCTCTGCTCCCTGGGGCTAAACCACGGCAGGACTCCCCATGGGACCCCCCTGGCCTCAGGTGCTCTGAGCATCCCCCACACCCAGGTAAGGTGGCACCGGGACCCGGCAGGGTGAGGGAGGGGGCTGGACCCAGAGGGACAAATGTGTGTTCTGTGTGCTCTGTCACAACCTCTTTTTGGGGTCTGCAGTGCTTGGACAGCTTCTGTCAGCTCAGGGGCTGACAAAACTGAGGGTGGCACAGGTGCCCAGAGCAGCTGGGGCTGCCCCTGGATCCCTGGCAATGCCCAAGGCCAGGTTGGACACGGGTTTGGAGCAGCCTGGGACAGTGGAAAGTGTCCCTGCCATGGCAGGGGTGGGATGAGATGAACTTTTAATTCCTTTCTGAACCAAACCATTTTGTGATTCCATGCATCCTGGTTTGGGCTCTCCTGGTTGAGGAAGCTCCCTCAGCTCCCCACACAAGAACCCAGGAACCTCCCTTTGGAGGTGCCGTCTGCATGTTCAGGAAATGTTACAGCTGCTCTTTTACTTTTCCACACCATTTCCCTCGGGAATCTAACTGGGAACACAGCTGTCTTTTTGACTCAAAGCTGCAGTAACCCCCAGCCCATTCTCCATGAGGGTGGGGTGGTCCCAAAGCTCCAGAGCTCATCACCGGCGTGTCCGATGAAGAGCAGCAGAGTTAGAATTTCTCACATTTCTGTATAAACTGGGCTAATGGGCAGCAGCCTGGCAGAGCTTTGCTGCCATCAGACTTGTCCCAGTGCCCCCAGCTGTGCTGGTGGCCTTGCTGGGGTCCCCCTGAGCTGGTGGCCGTGTCCCCGTGGATGGTGGGGGATAGGTACCTACGGGCTCAGGTGCACAACGAGGCCAATTGCTCAGTTCTCCTTATCAGATAATTAACTGTTTGCTGCGGGTCCTTCGCTAATTAATTGCCCCGTGCAGCTCCTTGGCTCCTCCCAGGACAGGTCAGCCTGAGGAAACCCGAGCTGCCCCAGGGCTGCCGAGAGATCCCTCTGCCCATCCTGAGCTTTTCCAGCTGCTCAGGTGCCAGCGGGGACATCCCATTCCTGTCCCCGCTGTCCCTCGGCTCCTGAGGCCACATCCTGTGTTCAGAGCCCACGCAAGCTGCCAGGGTTCACCTCACTCAGTGTGATCATCTCAGCACTTCCATCCTTCCTCCCCAAAATTCCTCAGCAGAAACATCCCAGACCCTTCTGCAGCCACGATCATCGGGCTTGAGCAGGCAGGAGGGAGGAAAACAGTGGGATTCTAACGCTGGCATCAGTTGGGAAGGGAGATGCTGGGAGATGTTTGATCCCTAATCAATCTGACTACTTCACATTCACCTCATCCCTCAGGACTGGGGACAAGGGGAGGAGGAACAGGACGCAGGTAATGGCTTTCCACTGCCAGAGGGCAGGGATGGATGGGATATTGGGAATTAGGAATTGTTCCCTGTGAGGGTGGGCAGGCCCTG